CTAATATTATATTTATGTCTATTTATATTTGATGTGTCTGTAATATGACTTTATCGCTAAATTAATATTTCTAATATTATATTGTATGTCATATGATTGATGTTGTCGGTTAATCATGACTTTATCGCTAAATTAATATATATAGTATTATATATATATATATGTATAATATATATATATATATATATATATATATATATATATATATGAGTTATGACATTCTGATTAATACAGATTAACATAATTACATATATGAGTTATTACATTTGAATAAATACAGATTAACATAATTACATATATTAAAATATAAAAATCATAAATTATACTGTGTGGTGAAAGTGCCCCCATTGTAGATTAGCCTCTGCATATGGATTCAGGTCATAGCGCTGATACCATGTTAAATTTGAATTGTATAAGCAATTGATCAATTTCATTAATAATTTATCAAATTCATTAATAATTTCATGACGGACCTATCTTTAATAAACAATACTCACTAGCTACCGGAATGAGCTGGACAATACAATCCCACAATTTGCCTAAAAAGAAATTTAGTCAGTGAAAATAGCAGATCTTAAGATATCCCTAATCAGAAGCTTAAAAAAAATCTATTAAAATCCACAACTCTAGAAATAATTAATTTAATTAAACTAAAACACATAAATTTGGAGTTTTGCTAATTTTAATATTGACCAATCTTCACTATTTTACAAAAACCTTGAACTACAAAAAGAATTTAGAGGGATTCAAATTGGGTTATAATGTAAATATTCAGAATTTTCCAACATGTACTGTATATATATGCAGTTTGAGTGAGAATTGAGGTTTGTTGCTCATAGTTTAGTTCAAGTGTATGTAAGTGACGAACGTCGAGATGCCCACCTAATCTTATGCTTTCAATCTTAGTTTAGTTCCTTTAATTTGTTGATTGTCTATTTCTTTTTCTGCACTTCAGTTCGTTACTAGTTTTATTTTATATGTAAATCAGTTGGTAACGGATTTATATGTACACTTCATCAACCTTATAAATATAATTATTAATAATATTATTATTTTTACATTAATTTTTTAAAATTTTAATAGCAATAGCTATTAAATTTTATTAAATACTAATATTCATCGATACAATAACTATAAGCTGTTATTAACCATTGTGGCAACCAAAGGATCAAATAATTAAATCAAAAAGGCCGTGGCTTGGATACTTCATGGCTAAGATAAGAAAATTTTCTTATATGCGTCTAAAAACAATATTTGTATGTATCATCTACTAGTCTAATTCCATCTAAAAGTCCACAAAACTATCTCTAGAAACTTCTTTTATGTGCTCTTTATAAGTAACTTATTGCTCTCTATCTCCATCTTATAATCTTCTCAACTAAGTTTCAGCACCAAAAAGAAAAATGACCTTCCATAGACACCCACCTCCACCACCACCAGACCCTTTTGCACCGCCACCATATCTACATGGTCCTCCACCACCACCACCACCTCCTCGTCCTGAATTTTATCCTCCACCACCCCACCACCATCATCATCCACCGCCGCCTCCGCCGCCTTTCGCTCCACACCCACCACCTCCCGGTCCTCCTGGTCCTCCTCCACCACCTTTCTTTGATCCATATATGCCACCTCCGCCCTGGCACCGTCCTCCTCCACCTCCTTACTAGCGCATTTGTATTCCTAAGCTAAAGTGCTTGTGATGGATGTGCAAGAAGTGCTGTAGTGATCAACTGAGAGAAGATACAGGAATTGACCATCGCTATGGTTCTTGATGAATTTAGGAAGAAATACAATAATTTACTTTCTTTTATTTTTCTTTGAGCTGCTTATTGTATTGATGTCTCTGCTTCTTGAAATAATATGGATTTTAGAACACTCAATTAGACTGTTGAAACTTGTTATACAGAAGTTTTATTAAATTCCGTTCTATATATTACAATCAATTATATATCCTGTAATTCTGATTCTTTAATTTATATATATATTTGTTCTAGAATAAGTTAATTAGAACAATCAAATTCATTAACTCAATCTAATTGTTATATTTAGTATTATTAGTAGCAGCATACACGTGCTATACACAATAAATATCTTTATCTATAATCTTAGAGATATTATCATAATATTTTAAAATTTATAATTTAATTAAGAAAAAATTTATAATTTAAATTACTTTTGATTTCATATTTTTTATCTATAATCTTAGAGATATTATCATAATATTTTAAAATTTATAATTTAATTAAGAAAAAATTTATAATTTAATTACTTTTGATTTCATATTTGTTAATTTAGTTGAAAATTATTTCAATTAAAGAACATCTAGAGTCCGTTCGGTAATACTACTCATTCTAGTAGTTGTTAGCTCTTTTAGTAGCTGTTAGCTTTTTAGTAGTTGTTAGTTGGTAAATGTTAAATGTTAGCACCTAGCTGTTTGCTGTTTAAATAGTAATTGAAAGTGAAAGTGTCTAACAACAACTGTTTAAGTGGCAATAAATTTAAAATGACAAAAAAAGATATTGAAAAATTTATAATTTAATTACTTTTGATTTCATATTTGTTAATTTAGTTGAAAATTATTTCAATTAAAGAACATCTAGAGTCCGTTCGGTAATACTACTCATTCTAGTAGTTGTTAGCTCTTTTAGTAGCTGTTAGCTTTTTAGTAGTTGTTAGTTGGTAAATGTTAAATGTTAGCACCTAGCTGTTTGCTGTTTAAATAGTAATTGAAAGTGAAAGTGTCTAACAACAACTGTTTAAGTGGCAATAAATTTAAAATGACAAAAAAAGATATTGAAATATTCGCCTAAAATTTTTAATTAAATTCATTATAAAAAAATAATTTCACTGTATCTAACTTTTCAAAATTTAAGGGAGCAAAAATTGAAAAGTCCACTCTTTTATAAATAAAATGGAAAATTTTTAATATTTTAGGGAATCAACATTTTTAATTTTTTATATTTGTTTGAGTTTAAATATAAATGTATAAATAATATTTTTTTTTTCTTTTACTATCAAATATAAATAAGCCAAACATAAAGATAATAAAATACGTAATGTGATAACAGAAAGATTTTATATTAATTAAGGATAAGTATAAGGTTGTAAAATAAATTTAGTAAAAAGAGTGAAATGTTGAATGTTAAATAAGATAACGTTTTAAAATACACTGCATAAACCTAAAGCTACTATGTATACCAAGTTACCCAACACATAAATTTAGAGAAATAGTGTTTTGACTAGTTCAAAACACTAAACGCTACTGTCAAACACACTCCTATTTCAAATTCAAAACATTACACTAATAATATAAAAATTAATGTTTATAACAAAATTGACAGAAAAGAAAAAATATATTAAAAATCAGTAATTTTAATTTACTTTTAGATTAATAAACTTTCTTAGACGATATTAAAAATAATAAAATAAATAAAATAAAATAGACAATAGAAATTCAATCGTAAATGTATATATATCATTTTTAATGATAATTTCATATAAACCACTTTTTTTTATGATTTATCAAATTTTTCCTAACTTGATAGAATAATAGAAATTAGAAGAGAAAAAATATATATGAATATCGAAAAGAAATTGTATAAGAATTGTTGAAATTACAAAAAAAAAAAAAAAATTGATTTTACCAAACCTCAAAGAGCTATCTCTCTATTTATAGTCTAATAATAAGTAATTAATGGTAATTCAATGTATTATCACTAAAGCTAATAAAGACAACTATACATTGTAATTTTAAGACAAAATAAATATTGAACGTTTGAATATTCATCGTTAATAAAACTATTAATAAATATTTTCACCATTAACCTTCTCTATCATTCTTTTAAATATAAAATTTTCATTCATATCATTCTTTTAAATATAAAATTTTCATTCATAATAATAAATTATAATTACTGATTGATTATATGATATTCATATCAATACTTATAATAATATTAATTTAAAAGAGAAGTTGATTAATACATATTAATATGATATCAATGATAAAATTAATGATAACTTTTAAATAAAAATAGGATTAATCATTATAATTAATTTTAATTATTTAATACATATTAATATGATCAATTTCGACTTGGACAATTAAGACCAATATTATGTAATTTTTGATGAGAAAGATAGGTTATAATATTAATAATTATATCTATTACTAATATGTATTAATTATGCATAATTGAATGATAATTAATATCAATATTTCTATAACACTATAACTAATATTAATTCCTAATATGACACTATCAAATTTTAAGCTCCTATGTGGAGCATTATAATGTATGTATCGTCACCAAGAATTCTTTATTTGTAAAAAGTGAGAGGAAGGCACTTCATTCTATTAAAATGTCATATGTCAACTTCTTTAGAAAAAAATGCTTTGCTTATATATATATTATATTATATATACTATATACTATATTTGATATGAATTGTTTTCTTCTTGGAAAATTTAGACAAAATTTCCGCAGCTTTTTGATCCACTATTTTGCACCCACATATTATGGCAATTCAAATACCACAGTAAAAAAAAAGAAATAGTTGCTCTGTTTTTAAAGAGTTTCTTTTTTTTTTTTTTTTTTTTTTTGATGGCTTGTTTTAAGAGATTGGCAATAAACTTATTCTTCATTGCATAGACTCAATAGACACAATTTAATTCAAATATTTTAAATTACTTGTTAAATATATATAATTTTTTTTTTTTTTTTTTTTTTTTGATGCTCTGTTTTAAGAGATTGGCAATAAATTATTTTCATTGATAGATCAATAGACAAATTTAATTCAAATATTTTAAATTATTGTAAAATATTATAATTAAATATGCTCTAAATTTTAGTGGTATTGTACTATTGAGTTAAATGAAATAATTCATGAATGATCGGATGACAAAAAAACTAATATTTCTGCTTATTTAATTGCGGTGATACAATTAGAATTAGACATGATCTTACTTTCAAAAAAAAAAAAAAAACATGATCTTCTAAAATATTAACTGAAATGGATATTATTATTATAATTATGAAAGTTAATTTAAATATTTTCAAAAATAAATTAAAAAAAATCAAAGCCTCTTAATGCATACAGGGAAGTGAGCATTTGGTCAGAGGAACCAGATTAAGTTGAACCACCTCTGACTGATAGGATAGAATTATGAAAATGCAATAACTGAAGCGAAATTTCACTACCACATGAATTAATTAGTTACAGTTAAAACTTGCTATATGTTTTTTTTTTTTCTTTTTTTCGGTCTTCAAAGTTCAATGCCATCAGCTGTTTGCTGCAATTGTCCCTTGAAGATCCTATCTTTCGCAATTCTTGCCTGCAAATTTCACATACAGAAAGAGAAGTTGAACCTTCTTGCTTAAAGATATCTTTATCTTGTATAAAGTGTAAGAAAGTTGAGAACCTGTTTTTGCCAATTTGTAGCAGCAGTTAAGAGAGCTAGCAGAGCCACTTGCATTGTTGAGCCTGTGACTACTCCAATCCAAAGACCCTTTCCTCTAAGATGAGCAACAAAACATAGCAGAACCGATATTGGAGTTCCAATAAAATAGTAGGCTCCAAGATTGATGCATGCTCCTATTTGCTGCCGCCCACATCCTCTTGCAATTCCTGTTTTCAAAAGTAGAGAACAAAATATTCTATTTGGTGTTAATTATAAATTTGGTGTCTTAAATGACACATAAGCAGTCGACACTTAATTGAAAATTTTTATTGGATTTCAACACTTAATTGTAAACGTTTTCTTTTGATACATCAAAATAGAAAATTTTAATAAGTTAGACACTAAATTTATAATTAAACCTCTTGTAATTCTTGTTTCCACAGGTAGAGAACAATATATGACTATTTAAAACATTTTAATTTAGTAATCGAGTGTGCCTCAAGTATGAAAAGTGTTTAAATCCTAACAATCTATTATCAAAAATATAGACAAAGATATTTTTGTTAAAGACATTTTTGATAATTTAGAATAACAGTTTTGTGTAAAAATTTTCTTATATCTAAAAGGATAACACAGTCTATGATATGAAATCATATTAATATCAATGTTTTTAAAACTGGATTGGACATCAAACTGGCTTGATAAGTGAATCACGATTGGACTGGATCAACTCGAATCAACTTCTTGATCTAGTGTAACCGAAAAATTTAAGCTATACTAACCAGAAAGTACAGCTTGTAAGCTATCCATCACAATTGAGAGAGAAAGCAAGGGAGTCACTTTTTTAACATACTCCACAACTTCCTTGTCATTGCTGTAAGCATAACCAAAAACACAACGCATGCAGAATAGGATTATGCTAACAATTACTGCTTCTGTCAGTGAAATGCTTAGTACTACTCCAACAACAGCTCGAGCCGCCAGTGGATTCCCCGATCCCAACTCATTCGAAACTCGAGTACTGCCAATTAAAAGAGTATGACCATTACTGAAAATTACAATGAAATGGGTAATTTGATCTACCAAAAGAGTAAGATATGAATCAAACCTCGCTGCAGCACCGATTCCGTATTGTAAAAAATAGTGCAAGGCTGTTGTTGTAAGGCTGATTACAGTGCTCAAAGAGGATTAGAAGCATTCTTATCAATGATCAAACAGTAAAAGAGTAGATATATTAGCATACCAAATAGATAGAACAGATGTTTCAAGCTTTGAATTGGGTAGAAGCCCAGCAAGCAATATAAGGAGCTCAAAAGTCCACCACTCAAGACTATGATCATTGCCATGAAAAAAGAAAAATGGCAAATTGCTTTTCAGAAAAAATGGATTTTTAAATTTCAATGTCGAACAAACTGTTAATCAGTTTAGAAAATTACCACACCATTACAGTAGAAGGGACAGCCAAGCGCCAAATAGTGCTAAAGCTAGAGAACACATCCTTCCAGCAAAGAATGCGAGTTTTCTCACATGAAGAAGAGCATCTAATGTAACAAGTAAGCAAGATTGCATTTAACCAATAAGCCAAACCAACAGCTATAGCTCCTCCGCAATATCCAAATCCCCACTTAAACATTAATCCCCAACAAATTGGTACGTAAAAACTGAGAGCTGCACAAGAACTTATAAGAGTTGGTAGAATCAAGCTTTGAGACTGGAAGTAGCGAAGTAATGATTGAACAATTGCATATCCAAATAATGCAGGTATAAGAGCAATTGAATATTTGCAGGCTACCCTTGATATTTCAGGGTTTAAACCTACTAATATTAATAACTTGTCCATAAATATCCATAAGATAGATATTGGAAGACATATTGGAACCAGAGAAATTGTTGCACAGTAAGTGTAGCTTCCAAATTTTTGATATTGGCCTGCTCCGTAAGCTTGACCACACAGAGTGTCTAGAGCACCACAAAATCCAAACTGCTTGGCATATAAACATATTGTTAATTATCACGTAAACACATTAATATCTTTTTTTTTTTTTATAAACCCAAAAATATTTAAAATATTATAAAAAAAATAACTGTCTTTTATGTTCAGTTTCTTAATTTAGGACTGAATTTCACTAGTAGTGGCATTTTTTTTTCCCTTCGTTATTATTAATTAAGGGTTGATTGAGAGAACTAGTAACCTTTTAGCGCTGAAAATAATTTAGCATACTAATTTGATTAAATTAAAGCTCATCCTTTTAAATTAATAATTGATTACCATATTAATCTCAATTTGTCTCAAAAATTTATACCAACTTTTGTTTTGTACATATTTTGGTAGCAATTTCAATATCAATAGAGTTGCACTTAAGCAGAAAACAAGTGACTCAAGTGGTAATCACCCTTAAGTTCAGTATACAATCTTTATAAAAATAGAAATTTAATCTGCGAAAGAAAAAACTAATTTGATAGTTTCAGAATTGATTTTCGACCTTGATATTGTATATCTCTTTATGGTTTATAAGATCTCGAGTATAGTTAAGAAACTTAGATTGTTGCCCACCTAATTCCTGATGTAGTAGTGATTTTATCTCCGTTATCTCCGATTACCGTTATCTAGATATCTTAAATATGATATTTGCATTTTGGTCCCTGCCTTGATATCAATAAGTCCTTAGCTTCTTATTTTATTCTATCACTGATGGAGAGAAGGAAATAAAATTAATTATATAATATTTGGTATTTTAAGTGGAAATTATTCAAGCAAGTAAAATTAATTTCAACAACTTCGTTATATGAATATTTGGTATTTTGAGCATCATTCATTGGAATATAAAAGGTGCTAATAATTAGACATATGCAAACTTAGATCTAGGATTAATTATTTTTATCATAATTATTATCTATTTATTGTTATTTTTTAAAAAATATTTTAGATCATCATAACATATAACCAATATTTTGATGTTTATAAGTAAGTCTATGCCAATAAAAAGTTGAAAACCGCTAATTTATTAGTGTAGAACTTTATATAAATAACATGCATTTATCATAAATAAATAAAGAGAAGCGAAAAGAGAGGGTTTACTATGACGGCGAAGCCAGTAGCATTGGTGAAAGAGGTGGCAACTGAGACGCCGGAAAGTGGTAATTTACCGAGATGCCCTGCCATCATTAGTGAAATTGTCGGTAAAAGGGACAGTGAAACGGATACAACCACCATTGGAGCAGCCATGGAGCTGACCTTCTTTAGCTCTTCCACAATCCATGTCTTGTTTTCAGTCCTAGTAACCACCACCTCCACCTGTTCCATTTTGCTCTTCTGTCTCTATTTCTTCCTTTGACATTTATTTATCTTTCTTTCCTACTAAGACGTACGTGGCTTTCAAACAAATTGCCTTTTTACTGAGTAGTTTTGTTTTCTTTTGTTTTTTACTTAAAATATGCAATTCGATAGTGAGAGTTCAACAACGGAATTAAAGAGATGGCGACTGAAATTAGAAGTTGGAATTTCAGAGATGAAATGTATTCTTTTCAATTTTAGGGGGACGATACGTATAATTTTTTTTATTAAGAAAATATATATTTTTAGTTTTAGCTATCATCATGGAATTCTTCTTTCTTCTTCCTTTGTCTATTATTAGTTTATTTCGTGTTCTAATTATTCTTTTTCTTTCTAATCTAATCTTGCTTCTTTTTTATGCATAATTTGCACTTTACCTCTTTTTTATGCATAATTTGCACTTTACCTTTTTTTTTTTTTTTTTTTTTTTTCTTTTTCTTTTCTAATCTAATCTTGCTTCTTCTTATTATGCAATAATTCTGCACTTTACCTCCTTTTTTAATGCATTCAATTTGCACTTTACCTTTTTTTTTTTTTTTTTTTTTTTTTTTGCCATTAGCATAATTTATAGCTAATATCATTAATTTTTTTTTTTTTTTTTTTTTTTGCAATTAGCATAATTTATAGCTAAATATATAATTTTGCTATATGTAACACAAAAAAAGTTCAGGTAAAACTATTGAATTTACAGAAATGGACATGGATTTTGCTTTTTTTGTTAAATTAAGTACAAAGAATGAAGGAGAAGGAAAAGGCAACCAAAGTTGTGATTTTATGCATTTAAAGAAGAAAATCCATGGAAATGGTTAGCAAGGAAGTGAAATAGGGACATGTGTTTGGTGTGTGTCAACCCAATTCCGTAGGGACAAACATATGGCTGTTGCCTTATTTAGAGCGTGGAGACAACTGAACTGAAATTATTAGTATGGGCTTCCTAACGGTAACAAATACCAATACCCAATGGGCCACAAAAATAATTGGCCACCAATGTTTAGGCATGGCGACCGGGTCAGTTCAAATCGGAACTGAATCAGAACTGAACTGTATTGTAAAATAATCAAAATTGGACTGTAACCGTTATTTAAAGTTTTGAACTGGAACCGGCGGTTCAAGTATTGATTAAAGTTCATGTGAATATTAAAATTTGAATTTAAACTGGTTTGAAATTGGCGATTAACTCACGGTTCCGATTCTATTTGAACCAAATTTTTTTTTTTCTTTTCAAAATTATAATCATGTAGCCTATTCTATAGGCCTATAAAATTCTAAAATAATAATTTTCTGCATAATATTTTTCTATATTATTTATCTAATTAATAATATTTAGACAAAATAAAATGATAATTTATTTGATTATTTTGTAAAATTAATTAATTTTATTTCTTATCTAAGTATGAATATTCTAAAAGTTATTTGAGATATAATTCATCAATATTTTTTTTATATTCACATTATATTTTTTTTGAAAAAAAATAATATGCATATCACCGGAAACCGTGATTAAAACTATTAATTCATTGAAACCGCACCAGAATTGATCAGAACTAAAATTGGAATAAAATTGGCGATTTAAAGATGGTTCAAGTTCAACATTTTAAAAATTTTGAACCGCCCGTTCAACGAGGCAACCATGTCTAGCTGCTGGCTCTTTTGTATTATATTTTGAACTATACTAACTTTAATGAAAATAATTACTAATAAAATTATTCTTCTTCTAAATTAATATTTTTATATAATAATGTTATTTGTATTGGTTTTAAAGCAATCTTGAGTTGTCAAACAGCTTCATAATTGAAATTTGTTGAGTGGAGCTTAGATACTGAGTATACAGTATATAGCAATTAAAAAAATGATCTCGTTGATTGATTTTCGAATCCATAAATAATAAATATAAACTTTACCAATAATTTGAATTATGAAAATTGTGAAGAAAAATGCTTAGGAAAATAAAGAGATGGCTTAGAATTATAAATTGCTTTAAATTGGAAGTGAATAATTTTGGTAGTGATAGGTGTTATTTTTATAATATTTTTAATGTGGTTTTTATTAGGATTTGTAGTATTTTTAATTACTTTAATTAATTTTTATTTATGTTTTTGTTATGTTCTTCTGAGGTGTTATTTTTATAATATTTTTAATATGGTTTTTATTAGGATTTGTAGTAATTTGTAGGGTTTTGGCACAGAGAAGAGTAAAATAAAGCAACACACTCATGCCTTGCCGGTGCTAGTTAGCACACCCGTGCTGGATTTAAGGAAAATCAAGTGAAAACACAGACTCTAGCACGCTCGGACCGTGATTGAGAGAAATTTAAAGTCTAATGGAAATTTTATTCTCTTAAAACAAGGAGAATTTTATTCTCTTAAAACAAGGAGAATTTATTCCCTTAAAACAAGGAGAATTTTATTCTCTTAAAACAAGGAGAATTTTATTCTCTTAAAACAAGGAGAATTTATTCCCTTAAAACAAGGAGAACTTTATTCCCTTAAAACATGAAGTCTATATAAAGAGAGGAGGAATTCATTGTAAGGGCATCTCTCATTCTATTATTCTTGTACATAGTTTTCTCTCTTCAAAATTTCAAGTATTCAACTATTATTCTTGTACATAGTTTTCTCTCTCTTCAAAATTTCAAAGATATTCAAGACGTTGTGCAAGATTTCAAGGAAGCCACTCCAAGCTACCTATCACTCAGTTTCTTTATTTACAAAACTCTTAATCTTTTTGATTTCTTTCATTATCTTTTATTTTATCCTTATTGATTATGGAATATTTATCAAGTATTATTGGGTTTTATTTAAGTACTATGTGTAACTAAATTTTTATACTAGGGGTTTGATGTAGCTTATCTCTTTTCCAATTTATGCAATTAGATTTATTTTTCCTTATTCAAGTTATGATTTATTAATGAATTTAATGCTTTTAGGCAAAATTTTCCACTAGATTGATTTATTTCAATTATCACTATCGGAAAAAGGATTTTTGGTAAGAAAAGGTTAATAAAACACATGAGAATAATAACTTGATGCGGAAGCTATATGATTTGACTCATGGGGGGTTTTTACGATTTATCAACCTTAAATTGTAAATTCATGAACAACTACATAACTTAATGATTTAATTCATATTTGATTGCGCTGTTGGAAGATAGGTAATTAAATAATTCAATGGATTAAGATAAGCTCAGCAACATAATCGGAAGAGTTGTTAGTGAATTAAGAAGTTGTTTCCCTACTTGAATATTAAATTGATTTATGAACTAATGAAATAAATTGTGAAAGGAATTAAGTTAAATCAAAAACCCTAGTACGTTTTAAATCCTTGATTTCTTTTAATCAATAATTGCTTGCTTGATCTCTTCTTATTCTTCTTTTATTTTGCTGGAATTTAATCTTCTATAAACAATCTTCACTCACTTTATCGTTTTTAAAATAAATAACGGATAATATAATAATATAATTTTGGTACTTGGTACACAATCCCTGTGGACACGATACTCTACTCACTTTATATTACTTGTAGCGATTTTCGTATACTTGCGAAAAATCATTGTTAAGTTTTTGGCGCCGTTGCCGAGGAATGGCGTTACCAATATCAATACGAATTATCCTATTATTAATTTAGATATTTATTTATTTATTTGTTTTTGTTCATTTAAATTTTATAAAGAATATCTCAGGTCTTTATGCAAAGAAGATCAAGAAGAACTGAACCCCTGATTTTTGATCCAGAAGTTGAGAAAACTTGCCGTAGAAACGCCGCTAGAAGAGCACGAGAAAAACAGGTTCAAGAACAACAAAGAGAATATGGACGACGAATCAATTCCTCCAACCTTGCAGAAACAGACCCCTTTGCTGCAAAATTCCTACAGAGATTGGAACAACAACAAAAAATGTTCGCAATTTACCTTTGCGAAACTACATCCAAGCAACGCCCTCTCTTAATGGAGCCACCGTCCAGCATCACTTTAGACCAAGAGTGGAAAGCTAATAACTTTGAAATCAAACCAGCAATTATTTCAGTTGCTTTCCAACTTCTATTTCAATAATGGGGGAACTCCCTAGTGAAGATCCAAATGCTCACATCACTAATTTTCCTGGAAATTGGTGATACTTTTTTAATGCAAAATGGTGTTTCTGACCGATGCCAATTAGATTAAAGAAACCTCTTTCTTTTACTCTAAAGGGATAAAGCACGATCAATGGTTACAAACTTGCTCCCAGCTGGAAAATGTTACTCAACTTGGGAGTAATTAGCCCCAATATAATTTTGGCTAAAATTCTTTCATCTTCTAAACCACCAAATAATTTTGAGAAATGAGATCAATGACTTTTGTTGTTCATCAATGATCAAGAAGCTTATACTGAAGCTTGGGAAAGATTTAAAGATTTTATTAAAAAATGCGCTCCGCATACGTTTGGCCTAAGTGGTTACAAAGTTCAAACTTTTTAATAATTCATGTAACCTAATATTAAGATTACTTAATTGATGCAGTTGCGGAGAAATCTTTTGACACACACACACCGCACGATCGATGAAGCATATGATTTAATAAGAAGAAATGGCAAGCAACAGCCCATTAAATCAAAGCAAAATTCCGAGAAGAAGGCAAAAAACTGCAAGGAATATATGAATCGATGCTATCGACTGGCAGCTCAATCGCTTAAGGCTGGATCAACATGGTAAGAAAGTTAGATTGTATTAACTACACTAAATCTGTGAATTCCCACATTAATTGCAAGCTTGTGAACAGATGCAACTGTAACACATGAAATTGAGAATGAATGCTAGATTATTCTGCAAATCCTCAACCTTCGGAGCAAGTGGAAATTTACGTGATGAATCAAGGAGAAGGCTTACCCCATACTCAAATTTCTTATATGCATAAATAAGTTGAACAATGAATCATGTGATAAGATTTAGTCTTATTTAGAGGTTTAAGAAAATTCAATTCCCTAATCTTTCAATATGGTAATCCTTAAGTAATACCATTGAAATGCACCACCAGGTTTCATATCTTCCAAGAGGTACAGTCTCATGAACGATCTCTCCTCACTGCCCCTCTCCAAATCCCACATGATTTATGAAACGAAACTCGAGAAAACAATAAAATTCCAACAAGC